TAAAATAAATCCATTTCTTAATAACTTGGAATGCCCACATAATTCAGCACATATTTTAACCCAAAATGATCATTGCATAAGACAATGAAAATTTCCCATGAAAAAGACATTAGGCCAACACAGGCAACTATAAACTTTAATTGATATTTCACAGTGTGTTCTAGTTTGCTCTCTGGGGAGCGTAGAATATCATTCTTGCACCTGCATTTTAACTCCCGAGGTATAGTATTTCAACCATTAAACATTTTTCATTAAAGCACTTCATATAGAATTAGTCTAATCTGATTTTAACAAAAGTATTCTATATTTAGTTTTTCACACTGTATTAGCCCAAACCATTAGAACTAGAAAGCTTGTCCCTTTGTTCACTGGCAAAAGCAAAAGGGTGCTCTGTGTCCACTCACTTCAAAGATGGCCCTTCCTGCGTTTCTGTCCTTTGAAACAAACAGCATTGGTAAACTAAGTCCTCCCCCCACCCCCACCCCCCACCAACCCCAGGCAAACTTCGATCCTAAAGACATGGAGACACGGGGTAAGCCCAATTCATCTGCAGAATCTTCTCCTTTCCCTGGGAACAGTCATAAAACCTCACAGAGCAACAGCTCTTAGGAAGGAGGGAAGGGAGCAGGATATTTTTGCAGGACTAGAACTGAGAAAATGTGCAAAAATTTGCATCTTGTGGTTTGAGTTTTATAGCTCTTATCTTGCTGCAATCTTGGGGGAACAGCTGCAGGATTTTAGGATGTGTGGCTTGAACAAGAAGGAAAAAGACCTCTCTAAGTGTTTCAAGTTGGAACTGGACAGGAGTGAGCAGCACACGGGCTCACTTGGAATCTGAGGCTAAGTGACCTTTAAAAAGAACTATCCTATTCCAGAGAACTTGCTTTCCCTGAAAGGTGAACCTCTGTTCTCTCTCACTTAGAACATTAATTGCTGAGAATTGAGAACACCTGAAGTAAATTAAAGTAGCTCTTTTTGAACACTGGTTATTAAGTATTTTTCAAGGAGTAAGCCCGTGAGTACTTTCCTGGCTTAGTTTCTTGGGTTTAGTATGTATTTAAGACAGTTTAATATTATTTTTATTGCTGTTTCAACTTCACATGCAATCATATTTCATGCGATACATGAGTTTAGAGTTAATGATACTAAACTGACACTGCTATGCTTGATTCCAGCCAAAAACAAAACACAACAAACAAAAGCCCAGTTTGCCAAACAAAGACGGACCACAGGTACTTACTCATATTATAAAAGGAAACTTGAAGTGATAAAAAGATTTTCATTAAGGTTTCGTAAAATATTAATTTTTCGAACACAGTTCTGATTCAATCAGAGATGAGAGGCTTCTCTGATTGTCACCTGAAGTGGGGACCAACCAAGAAGTTGACCCACTGGAGGGGAGTGAGGCAGTACACAGAGACAGCTGCATAGGAGGGGCACCAGCAAAGAGGTATCAGGTTAGAAGGGCAGGGGACGAAAAGCACCAAATGGAAGACCTCTTGCCCACACAGTAGGGACTCAATCTTATCCTACATTGAAAAAATAGTCTGCATGCTGTTGTCAACAGAATATCCAGATATCATTGTTGTGAACTGTTTAACTAGTTAGGGAAAGTCACTTCCTATGTGTCATGTCTCTGGCAAGTGAGGCACAGGAAGCCAGTAGTGGCCCTGGGTTTTTGGAAGGGGTATGGCTGTAAAAGCCCCCAGCTTATCTCAGAGGGACATAGGGTCAGAGAAGAAATATTAGAAGTTTGACTTTGGATGGAAAAGAGGTGCTCAAAGCCAGAGACTGGTGGTCTGTCAAACAGACAATAAGTTTGTGTTGTAGTGAGACTTGCATGCCAACAAGCAGGTAAAGCACCGAGTGCAGAGTGGGTACCCCTGGTGGTATTTTATAAACAACATTATCAGCAGTGGCCACAACAGTAGGAATAAAGGTAGGGTGATGGCCACCCATGGTCTGATCGAGCAAATGAGAGGCAGTGTGGGCAAGCTGTATTCACATGAGTCACACATTTCAAATGGCCAGTATGAGATATGGAAGAAATACGTCTTATTTTCCTGGTCATAACTACTACAGCCCACTGAGGAGGACACAGGTGCAGTGCCTCCCATTCTAGGTTAAAGTATTCCAATGCACCATTTTCGAAAAATTGGGCCAAGCGCTTCTCCTGCTCCATACACATATTCGTACAAAGGAGGGCCCAGAATGGAGAGAGAGAGGCCTTATTAGGAACACGGAGTGTGTGGATCATTAACTGTCTCTTCCCAAATTGACTCTGCCAGCTGGCCCCTCTTTCTACAACACTAAAAGAATGCCCGACTGGAGACTGTCTCTTGTCTAGAAGCAACTGGTCCACAAAACCAGCCGAGTCCTCACGGGGGTGTGCAGAAGGGGACTGGAAAGTAATGGAGGGTCAAGGAAGTGCAGGGGCGGCCATCTTGCCATGTGCAGTCAAAGAGCCAGCACCTGCGTGTGTCTTCTTCCTCCCATCCAGAGTCTTCCGGTTAGTAAGTTTTGCAAGCTGATTTAGTGACCTGTCTCGACTGGCTGGAAGTTTGAACATGAAATGGTACAGTTTTCCAATATCTGCTCTTAAGTGGGTTTTGTCAAAACTCAACTCCAGCTGGCTTTCAGTTTTAATGATTCCAGTCTGAGTCCCTCTTCTAAGTCACTTCAATTTATTAAAACTATTTTATTTAGTTCTTAAAGTGTACTCCAGTTATTTTATTTTTTTAAACTTGAACCTCATATTAATTTCAAGTTTTTCTCCTCCCCAAACCAGCACAGGCTGGAGGGACGTGGAGTAGAGGTGGGATGGACTTCTTCCCTGCCCTCACTCCTTTCAGGCTGAATGCATGGGGGGAAGAGGAGGCCAAACAGTGCAAGCCTCTTCCAAGGCGCATGATGACCTTGCTGATACTTTCTGTCCGTTGTTGCTGCTTCTCTGTGCTGTCCTGAGTGGCTTATGGTTCCCTCTGTGGATCAAGGACATGGGGTTTTGTGGCTGCTTCCTCAGCATTGGCTGATGACCCAGGACCAGGCCTAACACCCAGCTCTCTGGGGTAAGTTATTCCTCAAAACCCACTCTGGATAAGCTGCCTTAGTTCGGGGTCCTCTGCCTCTATTAAAACTCTACTCACTTTGGCATGAGGTCACTGGATTGGTAAGTGGATTTAGTGCACTCAGCATGGCTGATTAACATCATCAAGTTTGGGTTGTAAAGGCACTGGAGTCCACATAAACCAAAGGATGTCACTTGAGACTAACACCTTCGGGGAAAAGGAAGTAGGGTAGTAGCTTTGTACTACTCTACTTTGTTGTTCCAGAAGAACATGTTTTGAAAAGAACCCTCTAGAACTGTTGCCTCTGTGTGTTGTTTCACTGTTGTAATAAAGAAAACCACAGTGAGGGGAGAAGACAGAAAAGAGAGAGAAGGAAGGGTGGAGTACAAATTAGAGCATGAAAAACTGAAAAATAACACAGTGACTTCTTGACAAAGAATATATTCTTGATAAATTGCCCCAGTAATGACTAAAAGGAAAAGCAAAGGGAAAAATCCCAGGAAAAGCACATAAATGAGTTGAGTTGACCCAGAGTCCTTGCCATCACTCCACATCTGGACTACAGATTTCAAAGAGGTTACGATCTCGTTGTAAGAAGACCATGTAAGGGAGCGGGGAAGATGCGCCGAGAATAAGCCCTGTTTTTTGTGTTTTGCAATGAGGAGACATCTGTTCCATCCTTGCATCTCTCTTTTCTACTCCACATTTACACCGGACACAACTGGCTTGAATCACACACATAGCATTTTCCTTGTAATAATAACAAATTGAGTAGCTACTGATACAACAATGCTGCAACCACAAAAATCTCGGCTGCAGACTAAGTCCTGAAGGGAGGCAGGGGTCAGCTGGTCTCAGGTCTGCTTGCCTGTGCTCCACGCCTGCGTCACCCACCTCCAGCAGGCTCGTTCAGCCTAGTCTTGTGGACACGGTCCAAGGCGGCACACCCAACCACAAAACTGCTGTCCAGGGCTCAGCTCACAGTGACATGCTTGCTAACATTTCATCCACCACAGCAAGTCACAAGGGTGAACCCAAATATAAGGGGTGGCACTTCAGACCAGTGCTGAAGACATTCATACAGTTTTACAAAGTAGCAGATAAAATTTTGGAAAAGCCAGGCGGGAATAAAAAAAAATTCCTAGTCTCACCATCCAAAGGTAACCATGATTGATAATTACTTTATTATTCTAGTATTTTTCTATGGATATGTAAAATTCCTCTATGTTTTCAAACTTCAGATCAAACTAAGATACAGTTGTAAGGGTTTTAAAAAATTTACGAAAGTATATTGGAAGCATTTTTCTGTGTCATTAATTATTTAGACAATTCGTTTTGTGCTGTAGTCCAGCATACGGATATGCTGTATTTTATTTAATCATTCCACTATTGTTGGACATTTACTTTGTGGACACTCTTTTCTTAATAAGCATCAGGGAGGTCCCCTGATGGTAAAATGACACTTGTCTAAGCCACAGAAGTGTGTAGAAACATGGTGAATAGGCACATTGTACAGCAGGTAGGGAATGAAAATCCAAGCCTGGGACAAAGTGACAATACACTTGTCTGGATGAACTCTTCGATGAAATCTGTTTCTTCTTCATAAGAGGCATCAGCCATCTCTTAGCTTCTAGTAAGTTGTGTTTTTGGATATGAAGTAGCAACAAAGAACTGCAGCATTGCATAAGAAAAAGAACATAATAATATGTAATGTCCATATATGCCTGAACACTAACTTTGTAGTGTTTTGCTTTACCTGTGATGCTCTTTTCAGCAATAGCAATGTACTAATAGCCACCAATTAAATGCCCAGGTCATGTTTTCAAGTGCTTTTCTAATGACTATGCCATCCTTCAGAGGAAATGTTATGCTATAAATGGTTAATTATTTTAAATGGCTGAGAAGTTTTCCTTTGTCAAAAATAGCTACAGACTTACCAACACATATGGCCCTCTATTGATTGGTAGACTGTTGTCTTTCAAAACTCAAATATATCCTGGAAAGAGAACAGTTTAGGCCAACTATCAGTCATTTAAAATTTAATATGATTATCAGGTCAGTTTGAAACTGTTCAATTGAAAAGGGAAAAAAAGCATAAAAATTTAATAAACAAACCCAAGATACATAAAATCACAAAACCCTAAGAATTTATTGAAAGGGTAGGACTTGAAACGAAGTTACCAACAAATTGTTCTTTATTTCCATTTTCGAGTGACACTGAGGCTGATAGAAGAGTGAGTACACGGGAGCCAGTCCTTGTATCTGGAGTTTTAACAGGCTCTGCTTTTCTGTTCTTTTGGATGGTCAGTCTTAGGGATGCATGCAGTTACTCATTCTGGTCACAAGGTGGTGCTTTTGTGCATGATACCTCCTGGCTTTGCAACCTTTGCTCCATACTAAAAAAAAGTGACTTATTAAAGATATATCTCCACCTTCTTCACTAATTAGCCTTTATTAACAAAAGTTAACTTCATTTTTTATGAAAAAATAATAAAATATTTTTGTATCAAATGTCTGAACAATCAGAAAAATTTTCTAACATGCAACCTACCCAGACTCTCTATAATAATAAAGTACCTCTTTACAAATAAAAAGGGTAATTTGCCATTGACCTCTGCTTCTCTAAACCAACAGAGATTTGCTTTAAAACACAATGCAATTTTACTGGAAGCATAATTTAGTGGGGGTCTTGGCTGAAACCAATTCATGTATCAGAAGTTTAGTTCTTTGTATGCAAATAAAGAGTTGTGCATTACCAACTCACAGCATGACCTCTTAAATGAAAAGCTGACTGACTTACCTTTACTTTTTTGCACTCAAGTTTTGGAGTCCAATTATTTTAAGACATGGTGGTCCCCTGTTAAAGCCCGAAGTAAAGATCTTGCTGCTCTCCTACCTTCCGCCTCCGCATTCCTTCCCAGAGACAGCAACGCAGGCTTGTCGGAAACCGAGACTGTCGGGCAGTCATTTCTCAGCGGTGCTGCTGTCCATGGAGCTTTCTTCACCAGAAGCACTCGAGAATATATCAATTAGATTATCTTATGACTGAAATGATACTCCAGACACCTCGAAGCTCTGTAAAATCGTCCATCACTCACTAATGAATCAATAAGATATTGCTTCAGTGGGGAGATAACTGAAAGGGTAACCCAAATTACCCAACCTCCACAGGACATCCAGACACAGGGCTAGCTAGCACCACGGGTCTCTGCTAGCTGTTCTTTTCATTTGTGCTAAAGCATTAAAAAATCTGTGATTTTCTGTGGTGTCACTGTTGAGTTTATCCTCAAATCGTTAAATTGTCAGTCTGATTCCAATCAGGTATTGTCATGATTTATGTTAATTCAGGGTAGCTCTTTCCTCAGAGACTCAAGAAATAAGAAAAACTATGAAACACCCCCCAGAATAAATTATCTTTCTGAGAATGAAAGGGTTTGGTGAGTGAATGTCAAAAGCAATAATCAAAAATATGATAGTCAGATTTAGCACAGATAAACTCGCAGATAAATAAATTCTTGATTTAGAAAATCATATTAAGTGAGGGTCAGACTGTGGAGAGGGTGGGCAAGGCACAAACCCCATCCTCCCCTGCAGACCCCACGGCACCTGGGCAAAGCCTTCCCACTCAGCTTGCTCTTGCACGACCACGACTTACACTCCCTTCTTTCTCAACAGAGTGTAATAAAGTCAGTGCCCACTTCCCAATTTGCGAACTAGCCAATACGGAGCAAGTGAGCAGGGGAAATTTACCTTTCGTTTTTGTTTGGAAAGAATACAACATATGAAATGGAAAGTATGTGGTGTCATTCTGCAAACTAAAGTGTCTTGGTATCTCTCCTGCTTCCTGAAAAAAGCCCACATTCCTGAGCCTCCAGAGTCTGACCTCCACCCATGTCTGCTCCATTTTCTCCAATCACAGTTCTCCAGGCACTTCCGTTCTGGAGCGGCAGCCCTCTCTGCTCCTAGACCTGCCCAAGCCCTGGGCCACAGTTCTCTCCTCAGTCTCCCTGGATGCCATTCTCCTGCAAGTTCTCCAAGTCCAAACATACCTGTTTGGTCCAGTCTTCAAAGTCCAACTCAAATTCCACTGCCTCTTAAAAGACTTCCTGATTCCCCAACATCAGGTCTATGTCTGCATAGCAATGTATATGTCCACAAATAAATAATTGCTGTACGACTATACAACAAGCTGTGCTCTAGCTTGGTATTGGGTATTTGGATGTCTTACTGGATTTTTGGAAGCTTTTCTCCCTTATTTAACTTGAAGCTCCTGGTCAGCAACTTCCTATATAACTTTTTCTTTATTCCATAAACATATGCCCAGCCACTACTGGCTGAGTGAATAGAAACAAATGCTTACTGCTGCTCTCAGCACATTCACCAGTGGGCAGTAAGTCATACATGATTGCCTCACTAGAGAGAGAGGGAAATGCTGCTGGTCCCTTCTCCCCTCGCTGTGGATCTAATGTCCCTCCAGGTTTTCAGCGGATGGGGAGGACTCATCCTATGGATTGGAAGCTGAAGCAGATGAGTAGAAGCCATCTAACATTTCTTCCAATCCTGGAATTTGTGATCCCATGAAAATAGTTATAAGAGGTTGTGATATTAAGGGCCCCATTAGTATTCTTAAATGAATAAAGTCAATAGACAATATTTGCAAGTATGTTTGTATTTTAAGAGAAAGGAATCAGAATAAAATGCTAAAATACCCATTAACCCAGATAATTAGGTGAAATACCAAATTAACTAATCACAGTAGGGATAGGAGAGGAGTAGCAGTAGATGACTTAAGGGTTTTGCAACACTGTGGTTGTTTGAAGTAGTTTCACATTCTTAAGACAATGGCAGACACAGCGTGTTTGCTTTAATTCCTACATGACGCGTCAGTGTCGAACAGGCATAAACTCCAGGATTTGAAGGACAATCATTTAAAAGCATACCTTTATCTACATTATTTGGTAATTTGTCTTTCTTTCTAATACTCATTATGCTTGTAAAAACAACAATTGGTGTCATTAACAGAATTTTTTACTAGTTTTAATTATTTCTTATAATGACAAGAAGATAGTTACACAGTTATCTATGTACAAGAATATACATTTTTGAAGATACTTTTTCTACACAAGTGATAATATTCTGTAGTCAGAAGAGTCAATAACATGATAAATTTGCACAGTGACAGATGACTACTAGAATTTGCCAGGTGGTCTCATTGTAAGGTATAAATATGTCAAATCACTATGCTGTACATCTAAAAATAATGTAATTAAGATTGCATACCAACTATACTTACATTTTTAAAAGGTAAAAAAAATCAAGTTGTTGTTCTGAACTTCCTCGAAATCATCCCATACTTCCCCCTGCAACCTCGATTTTCCGCTGACTCCCCTCCACGTCCACTCCTGCGCAAGGCGCCCTTCCGCCTTCCCGGCACAGGTTCCATTTCTCCTCCTGACCCTGTGGCCCCACCAGTCACCTCCTCTCTCCATTGTACCTCTGACCGCCCTACTCACTGTATTTTTCCTGTTTCAAATGAACCTCAAGGTTCCCTGCTCTCAAAGTGACCACCATCCTCGCTGAACCGATACCCTCTCTAGGTGCTCCTGAGAACGGACGGAACTCACCGTCCCCTCTGCTGCATCTCCACTCTCTCAGCCAATGGCCACGTGGCCTCCACGCACCACGCTATGCTGAAATCACCCGGGACAAGGCCACCAGGGGCCTGCGATATCACAAATTGATTCAGTTCTTTCGGTTGTGATCTTGACCTTGTCGGTAATTCTTCTTGAATTTTCATATCCCTTGGTAGTATAGTCCTCAGACACACACTTCTCTAGCCCCTGTTCTTTGACACGCACAGACACAAACCCCTACACTTACTATTTTAAATACTTATAAGGAGATCATTATTTTTTCAACTACACATGATATAAAGTGTAATTTAAAATATTGAGGGAACACTTTGGAAAGTATATGGTTGTCTACACATTAGCTGTACACAGTGAAACTAATAAAAATAGTATTGAATATAAACTGTAACTATAAATAAAATTTAAAAAATAAACATTTCAAATAAACTATAGTTTAACAAACACCCATAATCCAGAATTTACACCTATTAACACAGCATCGTATTTATGATCAGACTTTTTTTCCTTAATTATGACTTTAGGAAAATTACATACGTCATATAATCCTATAATCTCCTTTAAAAGCAAAAGAAAATATTGAATTTTAGATAAAGCTAGAGATTCTTTTGTGCAGCATCTTTATTCAACCCGACTTCCTGCCCTGCTCTTCTCCTGAGGCAATCCTTAGCATGACCTTGGTGTACGACCTTCCAGTTCATTCAAAAGGTTTTACTTACAACTTACACATATATGTATCCAGATGTTATTTGGCTCTGTGTGTTTTATAAATTTACATAAATGATACCATGTAAAATTTTTCACTTTTCTTGTTTGATTTTTTGGGGGGTTCAACATCATTATAAAGTCAGTCTACGCTGCCATAAAAGATCACATTTATGTTACTTGTGTTAATACATTTATTTGTTTGACTCTGCAGCATTAGATAGATTTAATATTTCGATGCTGGGTATTTAGATTATTTCAGATTTTTTGCTACTGTAAAGAAAGCTGTAATGCATCCCTTTGCCTGTGTCTCTTACCCATGTGTGAAGAATGTTCCCTGATATATCAACCTGGAAGTGGCGTTGCTGGGTCTTCTCAAGTCTAGCTTCAATTAGATGCACACCCCACTCCACTTCCAAAGTTATCTTTCTATAATAAAAACCCAACAATGTGATTTTCCTGCTTAAAATCTTCAACTGGCTTCTCCTTTACTACAAAATAACTCCTACAGTCCTTAGGAACTGAATAAGGTCCTTTCTTGTCTGGTTTTTACCCCCATCTCCAGGTGAATCTCTCATCCTTACACTAACTATATTCTAGTCCTACTGAACTACTGTCAGCGCTTCAGCATCTCAGAACTACTTTTCTGAGTCGGACAACTTGGTCTCTTGTTCTCTGTATCTGCACATGCTGTGCCCTGTGTTTAGAATACTCACCCCCACAATCCATGCCTCCTAACTCCTTCTCATGCTTCACAATTCAACTCGGCTGCCATCCCCTTGGGAATCCCAGTGTTTCACTCCATCTAAGATGACTCAGATATTCAGAACAATGCTTGCATCTTCTAATAATTAACTGCCAAGATTACTAGTCAAAATCGCCCTCTCCTGTGTCCTTACATCCAGGTACAGAACCTGCAAAGTCTTCCATCCATAACAAGTAGCATATCGGGCATGGGTGTCCTGGAGTGCACCCCATCCCAGGGCCAGCATTCCTTCTTCATTGAGAACACAGGGACGGGAAGAAGACTGCACAAACTGGGTCCACATGCAAATGGAAGAGGGGTAAATACACTCCACTGTTTCAGGCAAACAGAGTTTTGCCCTCTCATCTGTTAAGTGACTGCTTCGTGTTCTACCCTTTCTCTCTCTGTCCTTGCCTATGCGACAATGATTGTTAAAGACATGACTCAAAAATTCCTTTCCTCAGTAGGGCTACAGTCACTATTGAAATATGTGTGCCCCATTTCACACAACCTCCATGAACAAAGGACATGAAAGACCCAGTTGGGCTAAAATGATTTTACAGATTATAGACTTCAATGTGTCTTATTCTTCCCGCAGATGTGAACTGCAAGAGCAGCCATAGCGGCCATCCCTCCACAAATAAGCCCATTTCATCCATAATCAAGAAAAATCATCCTTCAAAATGTGGGAGTAGGAGCAGTCTGGGTCCTGAGTGCAGGGACCCAAGCAGACTGCTCTGGAAGGATGGAGTTCCCAAAGCCTGCAGAGGGAGCTCTGGCTGTGGGACCAGGGGAAGAAGAGATGGGAAGCAGTTTAACAACCGCACTGAGAGGAGTTACGCTCCCATTTCTCTTACGTACAGCTGCTCCCAGTAACAAAGCAGTGAGTGCCCACCATGAGCTGGGGTGTGTTCCAGGTGTAACTGACATAGAAGCGAGAGGCTAGGAGGAGGACGAAGAGATCACAGCCTGGAGAAGGGGACATATAATCAAGGGGACAGGATAATAAGTGCTAGGATACTGGCACATAGCACTGCCATGAAATTTGAAAACGTACAAAAAAGGTTCCAGACTCAAAAAGGTTGAGACTTGAGGGACTGAGGCACAGGTGGGACTGGGAAGGGAAAGTGCCATTAATGTTTCTGGTTGCTTGCAGGGGATAATAAGCTGCTCCATAAATTAGATGTGTCCTCAGTGGCAGCTCTGTACACACCACTCTGTAAGAGACACAATGACCTAAAGAGGAGTTTGGAGACAGTGACTCCCGTTGTCCACCAGACCCCCAAAGGCACACCTTCTAGACCAGGGAGCACACTGCTGGGCAAAATGCTATCCTGCTGACAGCCACCACCAAGGCC